ATTACTCGAGTAGGATACACCACGGCTATACTCGCTACCTCAAGAATCGTAGTTATGGCCCAGCCACTTAAGCTGTGAACGTGAACAGAGTGGTACCAGCACTGTGGGTCGTTGCGGCACGCATGGGGGGCCTCCCGGACGTATGATCCTACTCGAGTAGCCCAGGCATGACTTGGCGGCAAACGATCGGAGTGGGCGTCAGAAGACGGTCGTCCTTGCGCGAGGAGAACTCGGTAAACTCGAGGGGCCAAAATATGCCGCTAGGAGGGCAGACAGAGGCAGCTGCGACGAAAGGCGGGAGAAGAAGCGAGAGCAGGGGAGCGGCAGGCGGCGCCGTTGCAGGACGAGGCAGAGGAGAGCGACGCGACAGAGGAAGAAGCGACAAGAGAGAGAACCTGAGACCGACGAGAGTGGGACGACCGCGAGGTGGCATGAAGGTTGCAGCGAGAATCGGCGAGGGACTGAGAAGAGATAGGCGGACGCGCCATAGGGTGGGCGACGGCTAGCGCATCACACCCCTCTCCTTAACACCTATACGAGTATGCCGGCCGACTCCTCCTTCGACCAGCTGCTCGGGCGGCTCGAGGGCGTCAAGACAGTTCTCGTGTGCGATCCGGAGGGCGCCATCCTGCTGTGCGCGGGCGACGCCTCCTGCGAGCCCAGGCTGCAGGCTCGCGCGCCACCGCCTCGAGCCGCAAATCCGCTCAGCACTCACGCGCCGCGCCCCACACGCCCCGCTCTCGCAGCGGCTATCGGCGACGTACTCGCAGACCGCCGACCACACCAGCAAGCTCGGGCTCGGAAAGAGCCGGCGCGCTCTCACCGGACCGCTTTGCCAGACGCACTTTCGCCGATCCTCTCCCTCCAACCTCTCCTTTCAACCGCTCCCGTGCCGCGCAGGCACATGACCGCGTTCTGCGACGACTGCGCGGTGGTGCACGCGAGCTGCTCGCCCATCGTGCTCAGCCTATTGGTGCGCTGCCCCACCGCCGCCCGCCCACCGCCATGCGTGCGCCGGCGGGTCATTGAGGACGTTACATATTTTTCTCTGTCTCTCCCTGCTAGAAGCTCATGTGCCAGGAGTGGACTCCACACGCCTGCTTCTGCACCCGCAGGTGCACGCGGGGGCGGACGTCGCACCGATCCTAGACGCGCTGCCCGAGCTGGTTGAGTCGCTGGCGCCGCTGCAGCAGGCCGCGGCGCCCTCCCCTGCGAGACGCTTGAAACAGATCAGAGCCCGGCCAAAGAACATCGCTAACGAGGCTGGAACTTTCTGCTCAGGCGGTCGAGAGGCTGCTCTCGCAAAACAGTCGCGACTGAGGGTTGTCAGCAGGAGCAGGCGCGGGCCGG